TGAGATGCACTCCAGAAACCAGCAAATAAGGGAAATTGGATTTTTCTGCCACAAGTTAGAGTCTGTGAAAGGAATAAAAGAGAGTAGAACAAATGCTTACAGAAAAGGAAAGTAAAGGTTGGTGACTAGGAAAAGTATCCAAAGTCACGGAACTGCTGAGCATGGTGTCTTACCACTGTAATCCCAGCAACCAGGGTGGCTGAGGCAGGAGGATCACATGTTAAAAACCAGTCTCAACAATATAGCAAGATCCTCAGCAACTTAGCAAGACCTCATCTCAAAAATCAAAAAGAGCTGGGGTTGTAGCTCAGTGGTAAACTGCCACTGGGTTTAATTTCTAGGACCAGAAGAAAAAAAAAAAAAAGGCTGAGTTGGAGAGTGAGACTTGGATCCTAGACAGCAGGGGAACAGGGGTCATGCCCAACACAACTGTAATAAGGAACCATTTAAGTGTATAAAGCCAGGTCACCCACTATTTGCCTATGGCAGAGACAGATCCATCATTCTGTCAACTTATTGCCCCCACCCCAAACCATCCAATCATCCAATTAATCTTTGTGCTCTAATCTCATACTCACCAAACTGCTGATATTTGTTTTTTGTAGATATTCTAACAATGAGATGCCAATCAAAAGACATACATCCTGGCCTCCTTATCAGTTATGTATCTGAAATACAAATTAATCAATGGACACTATGTTACCCACCAGTTACTTCTATGGGGTGCCTTCTGGAGACTCCACGTCTCACCAGGAGCCAGCTTAGGAACTCCAAAGCCAGTGACTGCCACCCTTTGGAGAGTGTCCGAGAGACCAGCTGGCTTCAGGAAGTTGATGCATGTTCCTCTGTCTTGGTTTGTATTTCTCTGGCTCCTCACAGAATTAAATGCAGTTCATTTTAAGTTCACTGGCTCTACATGGGAGCCATAGTGAGAACTTATTATGGAAGATAACAGAATTCAAATTGTTTAGAATGTTGGTCAAACCGTTTTTCTCTTTGAGAGCAAAGAGGTCAAGAAATGTCCAATTTGGAGGGAACATTAGTGGCCAAGGAGTTCATGCAGAGGTGATATGAGACACGGAAAGATCAATACATTTAATGAGGGTGACAATTTGCTCTCAACAAACTTTGGTTGCATTAGATCTCAGCATGAGTGTTCATGTCAGGTTGGATTTTTTTTTTTTTTCCTGCAAGCCCAAACTCTGGTAACTATTTGCAAGTACAAACTCAATTTTAGGCCAATGAACTCATAAAGAGCTCAAAGAGTTTAGAGAATCGCAAAATCTTTTCTGAATCAGGTCAATAAATTTAGCACTGGATGGTTTACGTCAAAATGGTAGTTACCTTTTAGGTGACTTGTTTTTCCTTTGGAACACCTTCTCAGTCCCTAGACATCAGAGAAATCTGGTGTGGAGGGAGAGGTCAGTGCATCAAATGACAAATTTACTTAAAGAGTTTTTAAAAAATCATGTCAGCGGACTAGAAGGAATCTTTAGAATCCTCTAGTCTATTTCAAACTCAAGTACAGAGACCTCTGGGATGTAAGGCAGCAGGAAGCAAAGCTGTGGGAGCTTCAGTTTCACTTGGTGGCATTTGATTTTAAACAGTACTTTTACACTGAAGTTCATATGCATGTATGATGGAATAGAAGGCAAAAAAAAAAAAATCACCTGATTTCCAAAGTGCGTACTTCAAAAAAATTTTATCTAGGAGTAGGCTACTTCCAGCTGTGGCCAAAAGTCTTTGAGGACCTTAACACACCTTCCACCCTATTTTGGTGGGAGAGTTTAACAAACACTATTTTTAATAGGCTCTGAGAAGTCAAGACACTTGTTCACTGTCACACAGCCAGCATTTATAACAGGCTCAAGACTAGAACCCACTCACCCAATGTGTTTTGTTTTGTTTTGTTTTTTACAGTCTAGCGGGCTAGTCTATATTTATAGAGTCCTCAGACCCAGAAAAATAACCTTTCTCTAGATGATTGGTTATTTGCATACAAGGAAAATAAGCTCCAGTGTCATGACAAATAACTTTTATGTTAGATGGTTCCCCTACTCCTTAAACTTGTTCAAGGTAACTTCTACTGAGAGAGAGAGAGAGAGAGAGAGAGAGAGAGAGAGAGAGAGAGATGAAAAATAATAGTTTTATCCTAAGATTAAGATACCAAGTATCTAGATGATAGGGAAGTTTTTCATATATGAAATGAAAATAAGACCCATAAGAACAGTATTTCTCAAAGTATGGTTCACAGATCTCCTGGGTCAATATTATCTGTAACGATTGTTAAATAAGCAGAAGAGTTGACTGAGTGTCTTGGTCCATTTTTGTTGCTATAACAAAATACCTAAAGCTGGGTACTTTATTTTTAAAAAAAGGAGGTTATTTAACCCACAGTCCTGAAGGTCTAAGCTCATGGTGCCAGCATTGACTACTGGTGAGGGCCTCACAACGACAGTGTCATATGGTAGGAGGGCATGCAAAGGGGTGTGGTGGAGAGAGAGAGAGAGAGAGAGAGAGAGAGAGAGAGAGAGAGAGAGAGAAGAGAGATCACATGGCAAGACAGGAAGCAAGAGACAAGAGGAGCCAGGCTTGTTCTTTTCTTTTTGCAGGGGGCGGGGGTACATATTCTTTTTTTTTTTTTCACTTTTATTTATTTTATTTATTTGTTTGTTTATTTTTTAAATACACAAAAACAGTGGAATAAATTACATCCTTATTAAACATACACAGTACAACTTTTTGTATCTCTCTATATAAAGCATGTTCACACCAATTTATGCCATTATACATGTTCTCTTTTTTTGCATTACAATTCTTAATACACATATATACCAGGCTTGTTCTTTTATCACAACCCACTTTCATGAGAACGAATCCACCTCTGTAAAGACTCAGCCCTTCCCACTGACAGGCATGAACCCCATCTAAGGCTAGTGCCCCCCTTGACCTAGTTATCCCCCATCAGGACCCACACCTTAAAGTCCCCACTGCTTCTCAGTAGTGTCCAGTTGGGGACCAAGCCTCCAGCACACTTGGGGGTCAAACTATATCCAACCATAGCACTAAGCCTCCAGCTAGTTACTCTTCAGAACCTGTTGGGGACAGAGCCCAGCAACTGACTGTTAACCCAGACCCCTTAGAAAAACCTTAGGTGCTCTGAGGTTGAAAAACTGCCACCTTCCTTACACAAGAGTCAGAGATAGGTGGCACACTAACCGGGGCACTTACAAGGCTTGTTTGTATTCAAGCTCTGGTTTGGTTCACGAGCTCTATGTGATGGGTTGAGTCAGGGAAAATGTCTTGATTTACAGAAGAAAATGAGGGACAGCTGATCAAATTGGTTTTAAACTAAACGTAAAAGCAGAGCAAAACAGAGAATCCGGATAAACACCCAAGTGACCACCACACTGAGGGGGACAGGAGAGACAGTGGGAGAGGCATTTGAGGAGCTGGGAATGGAACATCACTTGCCTGCCAATTCTGCTGGGCCTCGGTTTCCCTACATCTAAATGAAGAATCAGATCACATCAACTTTTCTAAAAGTGTTTCATGAAATATAAAAGCACACCAGGCGCCATGATGCCCTCCTGTAATCCCAGCAACTCAGGAGGCCGGGGCAGGAGGATCACAAGTTCCGGGGCCAGCATCAGCAACGTGTATGTATGTGTGCTGTGGAAATAAAACAGATGACATTATTGTTATCATTATATTTTCAATTTTGAAGGCATGCTACAAATATTGTGTTAGCATGGTTTCAAGAAAGTAACAAAAGCAAAAGAAAAAAAAATAACTTCTATAACTGGTGACTTGGAAACAGAAATAGGCAGAAAACAATTATTTTAATACTCAGTATCTCTAACAAATGCAGCAGATAGGGTAATCCCATCTGAGAGAGTTCCCCAGATTAAAATACAGGTAAGTAAATATGATGTCCAAGAGCATGTTGAAGCAAAATTTGGAGAAGGGGCACCTGCAGGTAGCAATGTGGTGGTGCAGGGTGCCAGCACCCCTTTCCAAGATGTAGATGTGTGCAGAGAGAAAGGAAGAACAGCAGAGTGGAAATGCAGGGACTTGAGAGAGAATCATACCAAGGAGTCGTCGGAAGAGGCAAGTAGAGGGATGCATTAAATGAGCATCCACAGACCTGTAGACCAGAGGCCAAACAAATGGTCTCCTCCAGAAATCCCTAAATTGGCTCCACCTCAGGTTGAAGATGGCGCGTCTCCTCTCCTCCCTTCCTCTGTGGTCCTTCAATGGTGATGAGCGGGTGTTCAGGAAGTCAGTGTCTCTTCTTCTCAGCTAGTTTTCCTGACCTTTAAAGATATGCCTATTCTCATTCATATGAGAAGAAACTATTCTCATGCCGGAGATAAGAGTAACACAGGAAAGCGGAGAAAGGAAATCACAGAATTAGGAGGCCAAACTTCTATCTGAAACAAGTTCATCTTTCTGAACTTGAATTCCCTTTCTTTCAGAGGGAGTAATGACTCCTGGGCTTTCCAAGGGGAATAAAGAACATGCATAGGAAATGCCTAGCATTATGTCTGACACATCGTAAATGCTCCTTACTTGGCAAGTATATCTCCAGGAGATTTCTTCAAACACGAATATATTTTTCTTTGCTCTGGGCTCTTAAATTTTGGCAGCAAAGTCTACTTTTGACAGCTGATTAGAAAGCCTTGCTTGATTGGAGGTAACTAAACTGGAGACACCACCCATTATGACCCGAATTTTTATCTAAATCTTTATGAAAAAGTCCACACAAGGATAGTGGCCTAATTTTTCTGCTATAGATCACAGATACATTTGAACATAAAAATGTATGGCTGGTCAGCCCCGTTCTTTTGACCTCCTGTAGTTCCGTACTCAAAGGTCATTTGGACATATCAGGGCTTGTCTTACACTAAAACACATTTGGGTGAAAAACATTGCCTTTATTTTCTTATATCTCCAAAAGAAACTTGCATAACAGTGAAATAAAAAAAAACTGATTTAAAAGTTAACATTAAAAAAAGAAATAAAATCAGCTTCAAATAAAAACGTATTTCTTTCTGTGCCTGTGTTCTCCTGGAAAGACTGTGGAATGAACTTAAAAAACAGGTACAAGGTATGTCAGATAAGATTTTGATACTTATTTGCAAGGTTGCAAGAGAGGAAAATGAGACCATATAACAAGGTGGATGTAATTATATGCTCAAATCAATATCTACTCACAGCTGCAAATTCCGCTCAGTCTTTTCCCTTCGGTGCTTCATGTTGGTCTGGTTTTTACCATTGCTTATAAAAATTTATCTGAATAAATTAAAGGAACTGTGCAGCTTTTTTATCAGAGTATAGTTACACAGAGATCATCTGCTAAATGCAATGTTTTGCCTTTTTTCCAGATCCCGGAAACATTTTCACCATTTGACATGCAAGAATCTTTACTTTTGTAACCATCAGTGTAGAGAGAATGCAAGGTAATCAAGGGAAATGCCTTACCAAATTGACTCCCGTCCTGAAAGCCATCTGTGTATAATGACTCCCTGGTAGCAACTGTAAAGTCATAAGCAATTGGGAGAGTTGCTCAAGCCTAGAGAAAAAGCAAATCACAGGACTGAGAATTATAGGGACAATAAAGTCAGCCTGGCCACAAAAGATCTAAAATCACCCAAGTTATAAAATGGGGGATAATAAATCTCACGTTATTTCATGCTTATGAAAACTAACATATTCACCAGCTTATGTCAGCTGGCCCTTCCCTTTCTACTGATCCTATTTAAATACCAAAGAGTTCAAAAGTTTCCTGCTTCCCAAGCTTAATTAATAATTAAAGGCTACTCTGGTTAGATGCCTGAACAGCCGGGGGAAAAGAAAAACACGTAGAGGATTACCAGTAGCTCTTAAATTGCTCCATCTTTGGCCACATGGAAACAAAACGAGAAAATCACAGAATTTTGTGGTTGAGTGGGTCTGACTCTTTTATTTGATAAATGAAGGAATGAGTTCCTCATCTCCCTTCTTCATGCCCCACCACCCACTACCTCAACATGCTCACAGCCCCTATTTCAACAGAGATGTTGCCCACACCCATGTTCTGGGCGTCGTGTCTGCTGAGTCCTCTTCCAGCTCTTTCTTGATTTCCACTTGCACACCTCCTCGTGCTCTTTGCCCAAGCACCACGTCACTCTCTGTGCCCCAGTGGCTGTAACAGCACCGGAGCTCTTGCTCTGCCTCCGGCCTCTTCCTGCAATCCCAACCTGCACATCGTCCTCAGTTAAGAAGTCAGAACAATGCTTCCAGAAGACTGACAGCACCACTCCATTTAGACATCCTCCATCATGATCTAAACAATGCCCAAGGTCCCTAGGACACTCCCAGCACCCCTGATTCTTTCTCTTCCATGTCCCCCATTTATTTTTCACCCATCACCTCAAATTCCATTTATCCCTCAAATACAAGAGGCTTTCTTTCACTTCCCCACATTCTCACCTCCTCTGCCACATGGGCTCTTCTCTTTCCCTTTCACCTTGCTAACTCCCACTCTTCAGGAGGCTGTGGCTCCACTGACTTCTCCATAAAACCTCCCTGCCTTCCCCTCCGCTGCGCTGCAGCTCTCCTTTTGTTTTTATAGCAGGGATTGAACTCAGAGGCACTTAACCATGGAGCCACATCGCCAGCCCTTTTTTTGTATTTTATTAGAGACCGGGTCTCACTGATTTGCTTAGCGCCTCGCTAAGTTGCTGAGGCTGGCTTTGAACTCATGATCCTCCTACCTTAACCTCCTGACCTGCTGGGATTACAGGCTTGCATCACAGCTCCAGGCTCAGCGCTCTGTCAGAACTCTCTCCATGCCTTCAACAAGGCCGTGACTTGCTTCTTTGCTGTTGCCTATGAAGCGTTTGCCTCTCAGGTACCTCAGCATCAGGGCAGCAGGGACCCCGTCCATCTTTCTTCTGTTTATTTCTCTACCTCTTAGAATAATTTCTGGAACACAAGAGGTATTTAAATTGTATTTCTTGAATGAATGAATGAACTTAAATAACTGCTCTAATTCTTAAGGGAATTAGATAGTACATTTAGGACTAGATACCAGATTAGTATTTTGCTCTCCTAAACTTTGGAGTATTTTGTTATTGATTTCGGGCCATTCAGAAAATATTATCTTAGGTGTAAGGAAACAAATAACCAATACATATAAACTTAGTCCTTGTAAAGCATTTTATTCCTTAATCCTAAAACCTGTCTGGAATGAAAGTAATTTTTATAAGCTCATTTTAAAAGATGAAGCTATTTCCTCCTCTCTTGTTTTATTTTCTTTCTTCCAATTCAATCAAAAAACCATAACCACCAGAAGAGCCCTGAGGAGGTTTGGGACCAGAACAAGGAGGGATTCCCAAGAGACCAATGAGGATTAAGAGTTTGCTTATGAACCAGGGATTAAGCAAATAAATAATATTAAGGAAAATAAGAACCCAATTTCTCACTGTTGAAGAAGGGAAGTGGACATGTGGGAAGGGGAGGGAATTAGAATAAACGCTGTGATGTGAATGGGAACTGGAGACATTGTATAACCTCATGGTTTTCCGCACACAACCCTAGGTCAGGAGTCACATATTTTAGAGCAACAGAAGAGCCTTCATTGCTAGAAAATAGTGAGCCAGGCAGAAAGTAGGAAGCAAAGAATTGGGAGCTTGCTAGGATCTGTTAAACCAGAATCTCAATAAATGAGACCCAGAATCAGTTTCACAAGCTATGTTTAAGTGTTCAAAAATTTAAACTTCCCCACATTAAAGAAAGTACTCTAACATAATTACTATTTCCAACTTTAATGACATCAGAAATATATCTAAGTAAGAAACTACCAAGCCAAGGGGACAAAATTAAATCTAGTCAGCACTAAATGGAACAGCCCAAGATAATGATTCCTCATTTCTAGGAAGTTGGTCCCCTCTTTTCTACAGATATTATCAAAGACTTGAATTTTAGCATTCAAAAAAAAATAAAATATAAGCTGGACACACATAGTCTGTAAATTGGAAGGCTGAGATAGGAGGATTGCAAGTTCGAGGCCAGCCTCAACAACTTAGAGGACCCTGTCGCAAACTAAAAGGGTTAGAGATGTATCTTGGAGTAGAGTGCCCTAGTTTTGTCCCCAGTATGAGAGAGAGAGAAAGAGAGGGATAGGGAGAGGGAGGGAGAGAGAGAGGGAGGGAGGGAGAGAGGGAGAGGGAGGAGGGAGGGAGGGAAAGAGGGAGGAAGGGAAAGAGAGAGAGAAGGGGGAGAGAGAAAGGAAGAGAAAAGGAAAGGAGGGAAGAAAGAGATTTACATGTTTACTATTTTTTCTTAAAAGAATATTAGCAGAATTTTTGATCATGTCCTCTTGGGGTTGTCACTTAAAGTCAGTTGTAAGGATAGGAAAGTTTAATTCAGTAATTTGATGATAAATACCATTGTCATGACTATTTAAGAAACATAAAAATGGCACAAGTATTATTTAGAAATAAATTTTTGTGGCAAAGCATTATATAGCACAAAAATACTAGACTAAATTAATTTGAATTTATTACTCGTAGTTAGAAAAGTGCAGAGAAATTTTAGCCAATTTTCAAATGAACATGATAACTCAGAGGTGCCCCCTATTCGACAAGTGTTATAAAAACATTGGGTCCCTCTTGATTGGTCCTTTTGTCCTAAGGTAGAGAATCCTTCGATATGGCCACTGAATCACAAATGATTCATGTTGATGGGGGGGGGGAAGCTTTGCTATCTTCCAATTAAAGAAAATTTACCTTTAGCTGGTCCCATAATTATTCTATATTGGAAAAGTGTAACTGCAGTTATTGAAAATATGTTAGGAGAGAAACAATTACCCACTGTATCAGTAAGGGTCTTGGCAGAAAACAGATGGCATTCTCCAACTGGGTAATTTGAGATGAGTTTAATAAAAAGAATTGTTACAAAAGTGAGGGCAGAGTTCAGAGAAATCAGCAATGTAGAATCCCAGCAACAGCACCATCATCAAGACCCAAGAAGCATGGGGAGGGAGTGGTGTGGAAGCTAGAGAGAGTAGGTGTGTGAGAGGTTGCTGATGGGGCAGGGCATAGCCAGCCCACAGCCCAGCAAGGAGGGAGCCAGGGCTTGACTACCCCCAGATCTCCTTCCTCCTGCTTCCTGATCTCTCCCTCGGACCCATCCTGATCCTGGAGACTTCACTGATGCAGAGGAAGTAGGTCAGCCCCTACCCTCTGCTGCAGGATATCTAACATATCACCCTTTCACATATCAGAATGATACAGAAAAGCAGTATATTATGTTATGCTGCAGCCCTTACTCCTCCTTACTCCTTACACAGCTGATTCATGAGTCTTGCCTGGAAAGCATGGCAATGGGCCTCAGAGCTCACGTTGTCTCTTTTTATCCATCATCCTAGAGAGGACTAATGGGTCATTTTACTGGCTTTGGTTGTCCATTCACAGTTTTCCCTCTGCTTGGTATCAGCTCTTAGTACCAGGTTTTTGTTAAGAGTTTATTCTTTCTCCCATTTGTTTGAAAAAAAGATGCTGCCACACCTGACCTTCAGGTCGGGTGTGGCAGAGGACAATCTCATCAGTGTCATTACACCCTTCAACTAGAGTGGACTTCTAGGAATAGGCTTCACCCCAATTGATTCCAAACAGAATTCTGTTGACAACTCCGGAGTGGCGTACACAGAGACGCACGCGCACATTCTCTCTTGTGCACGTTCTCTCTCCTGCAGTATGAATGAGCAAGCTTGGAGCCTGGGGGCTGCAAAAGGGGATGTTTGTGGAAAATAGAAGATATCACAAGAGCAGCATCCAGAAGGCAGCAACCAAAGACACTGGGAAAAGTGAGACCTGGAAGCAGGTTGAAGGACCCGCTCTTTCAAGGAGATAGCTGGCAACACTCCCAGGCTTCCTTTGCTTTGAAATTGCACTGACCTGAGAGTCAGACTCTGCTGTAACTAGACAATGTGCATAATGGTGTTGTCTTGTTAGCCAGAATGCCTCAAAATGGAGCTTTTATAACAAATGCTTGTTTTCGAAAAGCCGGGCGATTGCAGGCGGCATTGTGTTTGACTTTCCAAGAACTTTCCTGTATTCCCCTTATAAGAACTTTACTCAGGACAAGGAGCAATGATTTAAGAGTTCCATTTCCAGTTCCTGAAAGCAGACAATAAAACACTGATAAGATCTTACTTGTTTGGGTCATCATCACGACCGTAGTGAATGCTAAGAAGAATTTGATGTAATTCAGCAATATAGAAACTGTCTAGATATATATTAACATCACCTTTCGTATTTATGAGTCTTTGAAGGAGAAATCAAAGCATATTTCCAAAAGTATCTTACTAACCTTCAAATTTACCTTTCAATATAATAAAGACATACATTTGTGGCCCACTGTGTACATGGAGAAATAGAGGTCCAAGATCTAAGAGGAGTTCAGTGTACCAGTTCACAGTAGAGATTTCTGAATGTGATTTCATACATTAGAACATTGTCCAGAAAAGTATATCCATGGACCACTTGTATCAACTTTATGGGTTGGGTCCATTTTTAGAAATGCTATATTCCTGGGGTCAGTAATAGATCAGTAGATCTATTTCTCTAAAAATTAGCTTGAACTATGAGTTTTTTTTTTAAATGTCATGGGTGATTCTGATGTATCTTAGCATTTCAAAGATATTGAAATATCATCAGTGACTCAACAAGCACAGTATTTGTTGAGCAGCTACTAAATGCCACTTATTTGCTAGTCATTTGAAACATACCAATGAATATGGTGCTTTTTTCTTTCCTGCGCAGAACCCCTAGTCTTGGGAGGGCAATAACTGAAAAACAGACCACCTAATTGGAGTAGGGACACCAGCCAGCTAAACAACATTTCCCTTCATATTTCTATCAGTTATTTGAAATGGGATCCAGAAGCTGTAGATATTTAATCTGAATGGTGAGGCTGATCAATTAGGATAAACTTTTGGCGTTGGCCTTGGTGAGCCCTAAGCAAAGAGAGCCAGAGGAAGTATCCAGTCAGGTAAAACACAAGTGTGTTTTA